ATAATCATATTCCAATTTTAATCGGGAAATAGCGTTTCTGTGCACGGACCGGTCTAAATTCTACAGCAGATACATGTATCTTGGACAACATATCGCCTAAAATACAATATAGCCGTTGAGATTGAAAGCAAATATTTTATGAAGTCATGTTTTATTATCTACTCTCAATCGTTTTTTAAATAAAATTTTATCAAGATTCTTTTTTTAACCCCCGTATATACAAGGCGGGTACATGAAAGTGTTTGACGCGTGACCAGGCAATTTGTTTTCAAAAGACACAAACTCAGACTATCAGGTAGCACGGGTAGCTGGCCTGTCAATCAAATCAGAAGCTATTGTTTTTTTAATGATTGACAGGCGGTAAATTATTGATCTTGAATCAGGTAGATTTTGGGGGCGTTAACATAAAATTGGGTGTTTAAAGAACAAACTAATATTGCTTCACAGAAAAAATATAAACTGCAAAATATCTTATCTTACCACTATCTCCTTTTAGACCTGAAATATATTCTCTTATATTACTTCACATAAAAAGAATTAGTGTGTGATTATTACTCTGAAATTATTTTGGTTTTATGTAAGGTACTAGTATGTTTAAAGACATACATTTTTTATTGGCAAAACTACACACACTGAATTGTAGTGAGGCTATATTGCAAGCAAATATAATTCGACTGTTCTTGTTTAAACTTAAAAACGAATAAAGCTCACCTGGTAAACCTGATAGCCCTGGTTCACCTGAAAATTAGAAATAGCAATATTTGTGATGAAATACAATGTACAATAACTAGAACAAGAGGCCCATGGGCCACATCGCTCACCTGAGAAGCTTTGACCATTCCGTTCTTTACAAGATTTCCCCTTGTAATACGTATTGTGACCCCACCCTACCCAACTGATCATAATTTAAACAATTTGAAATCTACACAACCATAGGATGCTTTGATTCAACGTTGTAAAACTTTGATTCCCCATTGTGGCCCCACCCTACCCCAGGGGTCATGATTAGAACAATTTAGAATCTACACTACCCCAGGATGCTTCCACATAAGTTTCAGCTTTTCTGGCCCAGTGGTTCTTGAGTAGAAGATTTTTCAAAGATTTTTCCGATATATGACTATGTAAAACTTTGATTCGCCATTGTGGCCCCGCCCAACCCCCAGGGGTCATGATTTGAATAATTTAGAATATACACTACCCCCAGGATGTTTCCACAAAGGTTTCAGCTTTTCTGGCCTAGTGGTTCCTGAGTAGAAGATTTTCAAAGATTTTCCCATTTATTTCTATGTAAAACTTTGATTCCCCATTGTGGCCCCGCCCAACCCCGGGGGTCATGATTTGAACAATTTAGAATCTACACTACCCCAGGAAGCTTGCACGTAGATTTCAGCTTTTCTGGTCCAGTGGTTCTTGAGAAGAAGATTTTTAAAGATTTTTCCTATATATTTCTATGTAAAAGTTTGATTCCCCATTGTGACCCCATCCAACCCCCGGGGGTCATGATTTTAACAATTTAGAATTTACACTACCCCAGGATGCTTCCACATAAGTTTCAGCTTTTCTGGCCCAGTGGTTCTTGAGAAGAAGATTTTCTAAGATTTTCCTATATATTTCTATGTAAAAATTTGATTCGCCATTGTGGCCCCGCCCTACCCCTTGGGGTCAAGATTTTAACAATTTAAAATTCTCACTACCCCAGGATGCTTCCACGTAAGTTTCAGCTTTTCTGACCCAGTGGTTCTTGAGAAGAAGATTTTTCTCATATATTTCTTTGTAAAAATTTGATTCCCCATTGTGGCCCCGCCCTTCCCCCGGGGGTCATGATTTGAACAATTTAGAATCTACACAACCCCAGGATGTTTCCACATAAGTTTCAGCTTTTCTGGCCCAGTGGTTCTTGAGAAGAAGAATTTTTAATGACCCCACCCTATTTTTGTCTTTTCTTGATTATCTCCCCTTTTGAGGTGACTTGGCCCTTTATTTTAACAATTTAAATTTTCCTTTACCCAAGGATGCTTCGTACCAAGTTTGGTCAAAATTGGCCCAGTGGTTCTCTAGAGGAAGTCGAAAATGTGAAAAGTTTACCGACGGCCAGACAGACGGACGGACGACGGACAAAATGTGACCAGAAAAGCTCACTTTAGCCTTCGGCTCAGGTGAGCTAAAAACAACTCTTACAACTCTTTTCATGGAATAAATTTGCTAAAGCAAGGTTTTATAATTGAGACATTCAGTTATACTTAAAAATGACAATAGTGAATAAAATAGATAGAAAATAGCCAAAGCACTTTGATGAAACAAAAAATAAAAAATAGTTTTAGCATATCAATTGATGGAATAAAATTTGTAATAAATTATAACCAGGGGCGTAGTATCCGGGGGGGGCCAGGGGGGGCCTGCCCCCCCCCCCACTCTTTTTCCCAACCTTACTTAGACTATAGGAAATGTTAATTCAAAGCCTGTTTGCCCCCCCCCCCACTTTTAGAAATGTACCGAAAATGTAGTATAAGAATTTGTACCAAAAGTAGTTGACACTGAAAAAAGTTTACCCCCCCCCCCCCCCCCCCACGAAATAGGATTTTCGACTTCGGGCAACTTTTCCCTTTTTTTTTTTTTTTTGCTTGTCAACTTTTTCAGGTAAGTAAAAAAAACTTTTTCTCTGCCTGGCCCCCCCACTTTCAAAAACGATGCTACGGCACTGATAACAACATTCATGGTGAAAAACAATAGCTAGAAAATATCCATCTCACAAGGCTTGTGACGCAAAGCAACATTTGTGATAAAATATAACAGCAAAAACGATAACCATAATGATATTTGTGCTGGGATATAAAATCTAGAAAATTCACCATGAAAAGACGCCAAAGAATATTAAAAAAAAGTAATGATTGAATAAAAAAGTTTGCTATGAATATTTCGTTATATTTGCCTATCCACTGCTCTCTCCCATTATCAGTATGTTAAGATTAACTACATTCATAACCCCATAGACGCAACTGCTTCTGCTGTGAATGCATTTGCTCTATCACACTCGTGTGGTGTAAAAAATACTACAATTGTATATTGTGTTGATAAGTATATATATGAAATGTTTCGTAAAAGAAATAAATATAAGTTTTTAATAATATTTTTTGTGAAAAAAGATATTCAGAACAATCTAAAATTGCTGATTTATATTTTAAAAAATTTAATTCTAGTCAATGTATTAAATTGTATTATAAAACTTTTTAAAAATTGAAGAGAACCGCCATATTTTTATTTTTCTTATCGTATTTTGCATATCTGTACAAAGAACAATAACTCTTCACACTTGGATAATAAAACATTCATAAAAAGCAAAATTCAAGAACGATTTCAACTCTTAACAAGAGGCCCATGGGCCACATCGCTCACCTGAGCACTAAGGGTAGGAAAAAGTAGAAAATGGCTTTTAATTGTAAAGTTTAAATCCAAAAGTAGTCCCATGACCAATCATGGATTTGCTATTTAAAAAAGAATTTTCCTATATATATCTTTAAAAATTTTGGTCGGCCATTTTGGCCCCGCCCTACCCCTGGGGGTCATGATTTGAACAAATTTGAATCTACACTACTTGAGCATGCCTCCATATAAATATGATGAATTATGGCTTTGTCATTCTTGGGAAGAAGATTTTTAAAGAATTTTCCTATATATTTCTATGTAAAACTTTGGTCGGCCATTTTGGCCCCGCCCTACCCCCGGGGGGTCATGATTTGAACAAACTTGAATCTACACTACCTGAACATGCTTCCATATAAATATGATGAATTATGCCTTTGTCATTCGTGAGAAGAGGATTTTTAAAGAATTTTCCTATATATTTCTATGTAAAACTTAGGTCGGCCATTTTGGCCCCGCCCTACCCCCGGGGGTAATGATTTGAACAAACTGGAATCTACACTACCCGAGGATGTTTCCCCATAAGTTTCATCTTTCCTGGCACAGTGGTTCTTGAGAAGAAGATTTTTAAAATATGCCACCAAATTTTCATTAATTCCCAATTATCTCCCCTTGAATTAGGGCGTGGCCCTTCATTTGAACAAACTTGAATCCCCTTCACCCAAGGATACTTTGTGGCAATTTGGTTGAAATTGGCCCAGCGGTTCTTGAGAAGAAGTCGAAAATGTGAAAAGTTTACAGACAGACGGAAAGACAGACGGACGCCGGACAAAATGTGATCAGAAAAGCTCACTTGAGCTTTCAGCTCAGGTGAGCTAAAAACAAATAGAAAAATTAAAAAATCATATAGAAAAGCATTCTGAAGTTATAATGATTATTAAAGCATTCTCTTTTTTATCATAAGGTTAAATTACAGTATTGATTTTTGTCAGAGGGTTTCAATGACGTCGATCGATGACGTCACATCTGCATCAAAACAAAAATTAGGCTAAGAGAATGTGACGACGGCGCAGCTTGTATCTGATAACTGTGTTTTAAAAGAGGCTTATACTTTATAAATTGTTTTGATTTATTTGAGAAAAGGTGCAGTGATCAAGTATACTCATTTTAAAGCCGTGTGTTTTCTTTACTAAAGACAACAAGCCACATCCTTATGTAAGCCAGGATTTCCTCTGATATTTTTGACACCATCAAAGAATGCAAATATAAGTAATAAACAACGATTATTCAATGAACATGGCGTTATGAATAGCAATAGCTCTGCTGGCGCATCATGGAATATGCCATAACGCCATGTTCACTAAATAACGTTGTTTATTTCTTAAGTGGTTACCTTTTATTACACTGCATAAAGTATGTACAAAATTGGTTAAATATTTTGTTAATGAAGTCAATTTCTATGGTTTAGAGAATTCTTTTTAGATCGATTACTGTTCGGTCGTTATCTTCTCTCTTCATTTCCGCACAGCAATTCTGTTTATGTTAAATCTTAGTTTTCATTTTTTTAAAATGCCAATATTCCATTTAAACATGTATTTGTAGCAGAATATATAACATATTATACATTGCAGATGGTTTACCTTTTTCTCCGAGTATACCTGAAAAGAATCACGTACCATACATGAAAAAAATTATATAAAAGAAAAAAACTTTCTCGAACAAAATTAATATTTGGTTAGTTCATTATACAACTAAATGAATTTTTCTTACTTATTTCGATATATAACTTAATATGTAGATCTTTTTAGTGGAAATATCGAGATATGAAGGTTATATTTACATAATGAAAATTAGAATTTTCTTACCCTTGTCTCCTCTTTTACCTACAAACACGAAAAAGGCACATTATTTCTTATTTCAGATGATTTTTGACTTCAAACTTTTTTTTTCAGTCGTGTTATAAGTTTAAACATGGTTGAGATACATATATCGAATCTAATGAAATGCTCGAAAGACCAGTTTAATTATGCATGTTTTACTAATCGGAATAAGGTATATACTTACCAGGCAATCCTGGTATACCTAAAAAGTTAATTTTAGTTATATTCACTTGAAGGAATGGACTTTTAAATAACAACTTCTAGTATTCCAACAAACACACAAGAATAAAACAATTTCTATGGCTTTCAATTCGACTTCTAGATATATTGAAGACGTATTATCCATAAACATTTGTATCCATTCAAGACTGTCGAGTATGTCGACTCTACATATCCAAGGTAAAGACAGATCTGTTTAATATTTAGATATTTTACTAAAGATAACGAAACTTAATGATAAACGTGACGACTTTCAATTTTTCTACCGTAAACTTCCCATACTTGTGTAGCAATACATGTATACCCTTATCAACTGCATACAAAAGACATGTATAAGATTTTAGTCTCCCAGCTGATTCAAAAGCATGCTCAGCATAATACAATTTCTCAAACGAGGCAAGCTACTGTCAAACAAGTTGATGAATCAAAGATCTCAACTTCCTCGTTTAATTAAAGTCATCATTTTACAAGTTCTTTGGTCGATACAATGACCTTGTCAGCAAATACAATCTACTAGTATCATTAAGTTGGAAGCTGACTTTATCTTATATACCAGTTGGTAGATGGTGTTTAAAACTACATACTAAACGTCTACAGATTTTTACGGCTTTAAGATTATGGCGTTTGCCCGATAATGGTAGATACATTTTTAGACATGGAAATAGCTTTAATTTGTTTTTAAATGTTTTAGGTTTTCTGTTTAGAGAGAGAGAGTAAAATATTAATATACCGGTATACAAAACTATTCCTGCAGAACCTTTAGTATTTAATTTCTTTCATAATATCATAATATTAAGAAATTAAAATTCTAAAAATATCATAAAAGGTATAAAACTTATTTGAATGATTCCAAATATCTGCTACATGACGTCACAGGGAATATACAGCGTTAGTACTTTTGAATGCAACAACGCATCCCAAATATTGTGCACAATATAATTTGACTTGCCTTACTCCCTCTTTCCGCTACATTATATCCAAGGGAATACGTATACAGTGTTAGTATTTTTGAATATGCCAACGAATCTTGCAGCCTTTACACATAATAAAATTAAACTCACCCTCTTCTCCTCTTTCCCCCTTACACCCCTTCACTCCTTTCCCATCAATCCCTGGCTCTCCTACCAAAGAAGTAATAAGCACGTATGGTAGTTCACATATTTACGTATTTATCATAGATGTATAATATTTAATGGATCATTTTTTCTATAAATATTAAAATGATAATTTTACTTATTTTAGCCCATTTCGATATTTTAAAGTTATTTTCTCTCTTTTTTCTTTTTACTTTATGTTTGATTATCACTGGTTTATGAAATTATTTTGGAAAATTACCCTTTTCCCCTTTGGATCCAGGAGGTCCAGGGATAACTAAATAAAGAAAAAAAAATAAAAGATATATAAAAGGATCCTTTCACTTGACGCTCAACGAGTGCTATTAAAATGGCAAAACGAGAAAGGAACCTGTATTTAATTTCTTACTAGGAGTCCTAAGATCACAGTCGGATATTACTTTCCTGCAAAATCTGTAGTCAATGGTCTGAAAAAAATTGAAAGACATTTTTCAAATTTAACAAATTTTACCGGTTCATTATCGAAACCATCTCTGATGACAGGAATACCGATAGTGTAAGCTTTTCAAGATTTCTAAATTTAATAAACATAATAAATTTGCTCAAGAGAAAGACAAAGCATATACTTCATATAACTACACGTATCTCATCAGACAAATTTTAAATAAGATAAGGGCGGTCTCTCAAAATATTTCTTTTTACTCACCTCATTATCGATAATGTACACGCTACTACGCCGCAGACGGTTAGATTTCCCGCGTAATTTATCTGCGTACCTTGAGTAAATATTTATCGTCTGGTCATCGTGAAAACAACTATTTCTGCTTGTAACAAACAGAATACCAGTAAGGCACGTATTTCCAGCAATAAGTAAGTATATAATTTTGATGTGCAAAGCCAGATCACCTTGGGCCTCCATTTTGTTTATGGAAGGAATCTGTGAGCGCTTTCTTATCAGACATTGCCCTTGATAGATGCTTTCTCCAGTTATTATAACACTTGGAATATTTTTCCAGTAAAAAATCTTATCAAGAAAACTTTTTTTTTGATACAACACGTTTAAGCAAGGTTTTTGTTGATTTAGGTTTTCTGGTTCCAGTATCTTAGATGTTTTTCTTTATCTCGTGCAATTTGATGTTGGATCACGGAACAATGGATATTTAATTGATTGTTAAAAAGAACATATATAGCATTAGGTGAGCAGCTACAGGTCGTTCATAATGCCTATGGTGCGACAATTATGAAAGTGAAAAATTTTAACATATTTTATGAAATGAATCAAAAGGATTGGAAACAGGGTTCTTACAAAACTAACTGGTCCCTCTCCCTATATATAACAATATGTCATGCAAATAAAATATCAAAATACAATATTTTCAACTGATAAGTAAATAACAGGTCAATTTAAAATCTGCATGCTTCATCAATAAATTTATGGAAAGCAGCGAAAATATTATAATTAGTCAATACATGCAAATCTTTGTCACCGCATAATAAGTGGTTTGTGTCAATTGTTATCGATTTTTAAAGCATAAACAGGTAGTTGAAAAGCTTCTATCATTTGCATAATTTCTAATAATGATAAACATCGATCTCCTCATACTTTCGACATGTACAAAGAGGACTGCTGATTAATTTGCGTTTATACATGTATAGATCATGATTAAATACTTGTGTCTTAGTTTAGTATGAAATACCGTATAAGCAGAATTTTTAGCAAGGATTAATTTTGGCATTATTAGCGAGGATGCTGAGATCGCTAAAATTGAATATCGCTAAAAATTAAATGTGTTTTATTTGTAATATCTTCTTTATTGAGCATTTTAAAATCGCTAAAAATAAAATACCGATTTTTAAGGACAACTCGCTAAATTCGCTTCCCGCTAAAATTTCCACTTATACGGTATGTTTTTGTAGCGTTGGCCAAAGGAAAAATACGTTTAAAACCTAAATTAAATGTTTATTTTAAAAAAAATTCATATAACATTACTTTATGTAAAATTTTTAGAACTTGCAAAAATCTCATCAAAATTAGGATTATTTGCCAATGAAATAGCATATACACAATAAAGGCAAAAAGATCCTCTCATCATAGTATTACACGATTTTTCGATAAGAGCTGGTCGTCTCTCCATTTTTCAAAGTTTAACTTCAAAGTCCTCAGAAAAATACACAATTTTGGGTTAACAAATCAAGCAGTAAAGTCCAAATATGTCTTAAAATACACTAACTTTATTACACAACATTAACATTTTCCCTATAAATATTTGAAGTCCGTCTTATCAAGGATTATATCACAATCTAAATTTGAATGCATTCAACATTTAACAGGAGTTATCATTAGAGTTCAAACCCCATGAATACCACATTAGTTTTTTTTCAATAACAGAATTTTTTTTTGAAGAAGTTTTGTTTATTATATCAATTTCAATGTTACCATAAGAACTTTTACTCTAAATGCTTAGTTAACAAATAAATATGATTCTTATAAATCTGAAGTTATAGGCATTCCGCACATCTTGTTCACCCATATCCATTCTTACAGAATGATTAACCCCGTGACAAAATTAAAAATAGTCGAAATATAACACCGTAGCGAATCTATCAAGATTTATCAAAGAAAATTTACATTATGGAAAGATATCACTGCTACCTATAGAGAAATATTTTAAGAAATACTTTAATAATATTTTCCCTATAAAAGGTATAATAATAAATTAATGTTATTTTATATTATAACATTATACCATATTAATATACTGATATTATTTTATAACGATATTGGATCGGTATTACATTATACCAGTATTATATAATACCAATATTATATTGGATCGGTATTATAACATATCATATAAAGATAATTGAGTGAACTAATTTTATATCATGTTAAAAATTTTCAAATTATAAATGATTTTAAAAAATGCAGACATTCAATACGTGGCACTGGAGTTTTAAAAAGCCACCATTTTTGAAAAAAAACAAAAAAAAACCAAACAAAAAAAACCAAACAAACAAACAAACAAACAAAACACAAAAAACAAAAACAACAACAAATAAAAAAACAACATCTACGTTTTGATTCCGAGGTAAAGTATGCAAATTAGTAATTATATATAAGCTGCGCAGTTTCAAGATGCATTAATAAAAAGCAATGAATTCAAACTATTGCTGTAGGAACTGTATCTTAGTATTAATGTAATAAATGTATTTTAAATGTACAAATGTTATACAAGATTAAAACGCAACAAGAAGGATTATTGGACTCACCGAGGAGTAAAAGTCATAGGACGAGGACAGCCCGGAGAAGGTGACGTCCTGGTACATTTCCGGTGGCTCCAAGTTGTTCCTTTTGGATCTTTGGGTCTCGTCCTCACTGTTATTTCCGCCATGGCTGAAGGGAAAGTTCGACCATCTGGCCTCATTCAACCGTTTTAGTTCGTATAAGCCTCCAACGAAATCCAAAGTGCTGCAATGCTGGTGGCGGACAAAACAAACAATAGAATGTATATAATTCTTAGATGAAAGAGCGCCCTATGTGTCTCCATCTCACGAACCATGGCAAAATATGTTCCATTCATACAGATGGTGCAATTATAAAGAATAAACCAAGAACAAAATATATTGTAGTAGGTTAGTCGTAATCATTCAACAGCATTTCTCTAATAGGTTTAGATAAACTATTGTCTGTCTAGATGCAATTGCATGATATTTCCAATAAGTGCTCGTTAAAAGGGCAAAGTATATCGTGTGGATCAAGCGATTTTAATCATTTCGACTCCCCCTCTAACAGTGTAGAATCTTTGATTTTCTGTGTAATGAGCACCCCTGTTTTTGTATACGTTTGAGGTAGATCTGCCCATAAAGCCTAATAATCCATCCAACAGCTACCAATGAAGAGAACTGAGTGGGGGTTGCTCAGTTTTGTCGTCATATGTGTTTAACCACAATAAATGTAAAAATTTATCTAAAATTACCGCATTATTATGATTTATAACAGCCAAAAATTTAGCAGGGGTCGAAAGGTGTGAAAATCCTTGATATTTTTCATACACACACACATCCACTGATATCTTTAAATACGAAATGTTTTCAACTCTATGCCAGCAGACTATAAAACGTACGTATGTCGGAAATTGCTCCTTATTTAAAGTTATCTTTAAAAAAACATTTATTGAATTTTGATGAAAAACAAAATTTTTAATTCTAACTGTTTGAGGCATTATTATTTTGAACAATGTATTAAAATATTACCTTTCTCAAAATGAAAACTCTTTAGAATACTGTGGAATATGTGGAGATGACGATCTGTATTCGAGCTTTAAAGTCCATTAATTATTACAAAACGAGAGCGGAGCTAGTGACACCTCTAAAAGCACCAGAGGATGGGATCAGGTACCATGGAGGAGTAAGCATTCACTGTCGACCGTCACTTCCGCTGTGTGCTCCTTGTCATGATCTGAAGAGGAACGGGAAAAATCCATGTACAACTCAGTATGTAGATAATGGCCTAGTAATCAATATGAAATAAATAATGCAGTGCATTTGACTAAATCGTATTTGTTATCATCGTAACGACCATACAATCGATGAATGCTTTGAAGAAATGGCTGAATAATTTTTTGCTTCGCCAACTTGTTTAGAATAATCTGTTTTTGAATTGTTTGACGCAAAACATATAACTCTTCCGTATCGAATCAATCGAGAATTATAAACACTGTATGCAGATGACAAAGATATATTGCTGCATAAGTAAGGGAAGTTGATGATTGAAAAGTTAAAGTCAAATTAAAATCATAATAAAGCGTTGTTGTGCGATAACCATGAACGTCCTTTTCTAGTAAAAAAGACTCTGTCATTTATTTTATTTCAAGCTCCCCGGGATATATCGTGCGGGGGCTTTGCTATAAAGTAAATTGATGAAAGGAATTGGAAATGACTGAATCAGTTTAAAATGGAGAGTAGGCATGAAATTCCCTCTGAAAGCATTGTACTGGATTTTGACACTGTATAGCCAATATAGTGAATTATTTGTAATTTGGGATTAAAAGGAAAAACAAAATGTAAACTATGACTTAAATTTACACACACTTGAAACAAAGTAGATGCTTTAAGTATCTACAAATAATGTCAATTTCTAATAATAGAGAATTAGAATAACTGCAATATTCCAAAAAATATATGTTTTTTAAAAGAAAATTTTATAAATCTTTCTTAATTGAGGCATAATTTCATTTCAAATTCTACATGATCCATAAGTTGTGTTTGAAAATAAACAGTGCATAAAATGTGTTCATTTGTTAACATCAGACTATAAGGAGCTTTCTAAGGTTCTAGTAAGTCTGAGGTAGCTAGACTGCAAGAACAAACGAATGACATTTTTTTTACGAAATAGCGATCTAAGGTGCCAAAGATATCAAGAATTGAAGAATTTTACAGGTGCATTGTTCAACGCAATTTACAGATCCTCTGCTTTTAACAGCTGCCTGAGTGCCTTCTTCTTACGCAATCACAAATGCTCCCTGTACTCTTCGTTGTTTTTATTTATTTTTCTCTTTCCATACTTGTAAACATCATAATTTTGTTTTAAAGACGTCCATGTTAGTTCTGCACAAATTTAATTAAAGCAGGTGATAAAGGCACACCGTTTTCTGATTCTATTTAAAACGACGCCTGTAAGCGTGGAATATATTATTTTTGGTTTCTTTACAATTTCTTTCA